CCTCCCCCTCCCGGCCTGCGCTCCTCTCCCGGCTCCTCCACCCCTCTCGCTGCCTGCTCGGGATTGTGTCCCTGGGATCGTGAGCTGTGGCTTAAAACCCCCTTCCTTCCCTCCTTCCTTCCTTCCTCTGTCTTGGATGTGCTCGCTGTGTGTCTTTCCCGCGTGTGCGTGAGGGTGCTTGGGGCTGTGCTGGCATGAACCTGGGGAGGGCTGCTTACTTCCACCAGACAGTTCTGTTTCTGTGTTTTTGCACCCCACTTTCCCCTCTGCCTCTTCCTTCCCTTTATTTAAAATGGGGGGCGGGCTGGGGACTGGAGTACCCCGAGCAGATTCATGGCTGCAGCATCCTTTTGGAAGCTTAGCGTGGAAAAAGAGGAGTGAGATTTATTGCACTTGTAGGTCTAATTAGGGGAGAAGGGGGGGCTTCTGGCCTGTTCACTGGTTCCCTCTCCTCTTCACGGAGCTGGGGCCGCCTCCTCCAGAGCTGTGGCCTTGTTTTCACCCCTCTACTTTGAAAGGAAAGTTTGTGACTGAACCGTGCTTTCATAGTTGTGTCATTTTTTTAAAAAGCATGGTACTCATTTTATTTCTTCATCAAACTCCACCCTCTGCTTAAATACTGCATACAAATTACAATTTACAACGGCATTTACTGATCCTTCTGATTTGGCTATAATGCATAGACTGCAGCTGGCATGAGCTTCCACATCATTTAATCCCTGTGTTGTATGGCTTTGGTTTCTTTTAACACAACTTTTGATGTTGTATTTAGATATGCTTCATGTTCATGTGGCAAGAGATGCAGCACTTTTCTTATAAATATATTTAGCCATTTACAGTTAAAGTTTATCTCCTGACAATCATTAAAGATGTCTTATAGTCAAATTATCGAACCAGTCAATTTTGCAGAATGCAGATTACTCCTTCTTGTAATTGACTTTAAAATTATATTTTATATGCCACAGGAAAAGAAATTGAATTCCGTCAGATCTCAAAGAGCAGGCAAATATGACGACTTCATTTCTAGCTCCAGGGAGATTTTGTAGGCATCTGGAAAAAAAAAAAAAAAACACACAAAAAAACACAAAACTTTGAATTGTGCTCTCATTTAATTGAAAAATAACTGCCAAGTTCAAAACTATAATTAGAAAAAAGTATTCTAGCCATTATGTTTAAAGAGTTGAAATTGCATTGGGGCTTGCATTAAAAATAGAATCAAAGCAAATTTAAGAAAACAGTGCACAACCTGAAATAAGACAGCTACGTGTACATGGACATATCTATATTAATTTGTTGGGGGGAGAGTTCAGTAGCCCTAACTTTTCCTAAAGTTGTCTTTGTTTACATGGCAATTTAAAACGCTGGCACTGTTGAAGTAAAACATACACATTTAAAAAAAAAAAAAAAAAAAAAAAAAAAA